GGGTGCGTGGCTGCTTCTGTCCCACGCAGGCACCGGGGCCAGGCTCCGACCGCCGACGGCTCTGACCCTCCATGCTCCATGCTGCACCGCCCTGGCAGCGGTTTCCCTGCGGGGCCGTTCTTGGCAGCAATAGGACGTGTGGTCCCCGACGGCAGAAAGCACCGCCTGACCGGTGAGAACAGTGACTGGTGCCGCCCCCCCCGGCCAGTCCGGGGGTGAGACGCTGGGCAGCCGGCGGCTGCGTGTGCGGTGGAAATCCATCCCTGCCCTCCGGGGTGGGCTGCGTGCTGGCGAGGGGGCAAGAGACTTGCCGAGAAACGACTGGGGAAAGTGGATGTGGTTCTTGTTTGTTTTCGTGATGTTCGAAAGGTGTGTTTGGTGCCAGACCGGCTTGTTTGTGGGAGTTGCAATGAGTCTGGCTTGTTCCTGAAAACTTTAAACACATGTCCTGGTGTCGCTTTGGCATTCAGCATCGGAGCGCTTTGAGAGGCTGACAGGAGGGATGTGTGTGGAGGGAGAAGGCAGAGGGCTCTGAAAGAGTGCAATGCTTTCCTGCGTCCAGAGCTTCACTGCAAGGGACGGACACACCCGATTTCACGGGGGATAGTGCAGGCGCTCGGGAGGAGCGCAGGAACCACGCCTGGGGATGAGCGATTCCCGTGGCTTCCGCGCTGTGTCCAGAGCTCAGCTGAAGGGAAGGTCGCCCTTCGCAGCGGCCACTCGCGTGCAGTTACCTTCACAGACAAAGGCTTGACGTGGTGCTCGGCGGGGAGCCCTGCCCCAGCCTGCCCGGGACTGCGCAGGGTTGTCCCGCTCATCCCAGCGGTACTTGTACTCCAGGGAACCCTTCAGTTACAGGGCAGGAAGGGAGTGCACCCTGCGGCAGAGGAGTGACACCCGGCGTGTCCCGGGGCACAGGGAGGGCAGTGGGAGCGAGGGCTCGTGCAGGACGGGGCAGTCGCTGCAGGCAGGGAGGGACACCAGAGCTTGACACCCGCCGGAGCTGGACAGGGAATCTCTGTCATGTCTCGGCGGTGGCAGCTGGGGCAGGTGGGGTGTGAGGCATGTGCCCACGCTGGGGGTGAGGTTTGGCAGCTCTTGCTCCTGGGGACCCAGTGCCGGCGTTAGTGCGGCCATGCTGGCTTCCTCGCTGTGGCTTGTGCTCACTGATGCGATTGCTGGAGGAAGCTCTTTGTTTTCCAGCAAGGCTCTAAAATCATCTGTCTCCTGTGAACCTAGACCCTTGGTCAAGACCACAGTTGCGTCCCGTGTTGCAGGTACAAAGGTTGCTTTTATTCCCCGGGGACTTGCAGCCAAGCGTGCTCCTGGGACAGCTGCGTCTGGGCTGCCTGCTGCAGAGCTGCAGCAGGCCCGAGTCCAAAAGGCAGTCTGAGCTGTTTGCAGGTCATTCATTTTAGAGACGTTAATGACCTAAGACCTGGGAACAGTTCTAGGTGAGCAGCATCTGCTAAGTTTTGTCTTGTATAGTTTGACAACTAACTTCCTGATCGCCTTTCAGACCTGTCCTGACAGCAGCATTGGGGTGGGACTTTACCGGTTTCCTTTGGTGCTGCTAATGTGCCCATCAGCACAGGATTTGGGGCCATGCTGTTGTTCACAGGCATCACTGAAGTGGCTTTATTACAAGCAATTACATCAGCTCGGGTTGAGTCCTTTGTGGATCTGTTGCTGGTCCTGTCTGGCGTGGTTCTGCACAAGCTTTGGGGTGTGTTAACGTGTTCATGGGGTTAACGCAGGTTTGCGGCAGAGGGGTCTGGTGTGTGTTCTCCTGCGAGGATCCTCTGGTCAGGGAAGCTCCGTGTGCCGTGTACACCGTGTGCTGGGACGCTCTTGCCCCAAACAGCTGAGAGTGAACAGAGCAGACTTAAAGTTAATTCCAACCACTGCTGTAACGTGAACCGGCACAGCCGGCTCTCCTGCACTGGTGCTCTGGCACTGCAGAAGATCCGCGAGGGGCCTGCGGTGCTGGCCGGGGCTGGACCCAGCGTTTGTGCCGCTGCAGCTCAGCCCTTGTCCCCATGTGTGCTGGGTCTGTCCCTCCGCCTGGGGCTCTGTCCGCAGTTTTCCATGGGTGCCGGCTCCGGGAGCCCCATTGGGCACTGGGGTGAGTTTCCTGTTGATTCAAGGAGGGTCAGGCCCCAGCAGTGTCCCCACTTTTCTCTGGGCACTCATAAGAACAAGCCCTTTCAGTATTTTTCCCCATTAACACCTCGAAATTGGAATTCGTTTCTGCCTCTCAAAGAGCTGACCTGCTGAATTCCTTTCTCCTGAAGCACGAGGCGGTAAAGCCTGCAGGCCCACGGGATGCATCAGGGGAGTTGCAGATTAATACAGCATTACGCATTCCTTCTCCTGCCCCTGGAGTACGGGGCTCTGAAGCCAGGCATCAGGAAATGGTCAGCAGCGAAAAGCGAGCTGGAGGCAGGCGGAGGTCAGGCTTTTCCCTTCCCTTCGGCACGGGACAGCATCCCCTGCACATCCGTGCTGCAGTGGGGCTGCGGGAGGCAGGGCTGGAGGATGGTCCCTGCACATGGAGGG